AAATTTAACGCACTTGCAAATGTCCAATCCAGCTGAAATTTTCCACATTTTTCAAAAATTGATGATAATGCAATGTTTCAAAATTTCAGAATTTTTGCATGACCAGAAAATTGTAAAATTGACAAAACACAAATTATCATGAACCACTCTCTTAACCTCTTTAAAACTGTTCAAATTTACTACAAGTTAGGGGTTGTATTTATCAAGCATTGCTTGATGAAAAAAAAAGACAACTTCACATGAGAAAACTTTTTTTTTCATGTGAAGTTGTTCAAATTTTTAGTGTAGGGGAATTGTTTCAAGGTTCTGTTTGATCCTTTGAAGAGTAATTATTATTTGTTGAGGAGATCTTTGAATTGGAGATTATTGAATTGGGGAGATATTACATAGTCATGTACTCATTTATTACTGGTTTTAAAACTATGTACAGTATTTCAAAAATGTATTGTGGACATGTTTTTAAGCTGTCAACCTTATGTCTTCAATTTGAATAAAAATCAGTGTAAACCTTTTCAAGAGAAGCTTTGCTCCTTCCAAATGTATAGACTAGAGCATTTAAATACTTCTCTTGAAAATATCAGCGATTATATTTTTCTCTCTGGTCAAACAAGACTTATTTGCTGCAGTTCTAACTTCTAAGCAAAGAAATTGTACATCTGGGATTAAGAATGTATTCATTCTAGAAGCTTTTTCGATTTGGCTTATCTACTCATGAATATATTTCAAGAATATATACATTTTATTACGTATACCTGTTTTATTTTTTCTTTCACATCCTTTTTAATGAGGAAATTCTGGCCAAAATTTCCATGATCTCAATAAGTTTTAAATTTCAGTATTTCTTAAGGCTAACTTTGATCCTTCAGAACAAACGTTTATTTTTATCATTGATTCAAAACCTTCTTTCAATTCTACAGCACATTAAAATTTGTCAGTAGATTTTCTCAGCCATCCAAATATTGGAAGAAAATGAATTTGTGCTGTGTTTGGAGTGAATAAAACTTGTAACTTCCATGCCATAAAATTTTAAACAAGTTTATGTTTGCTATGGGGATTTTCAATATGTTTGAGGAGGCCTAAAGAGATTCCTCTTGAATTACTGATTCAATTTAAAAGTCTATGACTACATATATTTATACTAACTGCAGATTTAAAAGATTTTTGGTTCTCTTGATGTTATTCTTCCAGTTCTTTGACAAGTCAAAATGTGATCCTGCCTGCCAATATGAAGAAATAGCATTCATTGATATTTTTGGAAAAATACTGCGATAGTGCTAAAAATTTGCATGTAAGACCCTCAGTTGATCCTTGGCTGAACGAACATGATAAACACTGGCACCTACTAACAATCCAACTACAGTAAATATATATGAGCATGAAGTTTTAATTGTTCTGTTCCATTCAAGACAAATCATAGCTGAGGAGGGGAGATGCAAACCTGCTCTGTGAAAGGCTGACAAGGTTAGTTCAGATGGTGACAAAGACTGTCTTCTCCTTGGATAGTTCTGCTCTACTCCCAGATCAGCAGATAAGGACTTGGGAAGCCTCCTCATGAAAATTGGAGACATATTCCTGACCAAGTTTGGAGAGAATCTGTGCTTGGCAAATTCTCTTCTGCTTCCACCAAAATCAACAAAAGATCTCAATAAGGTTTAATAATGATAATAATTTTTTTTAATGAGGTGGTATCATTGCCTGACCTGAAGTTTGCAGTGTCTTGAGCAAATTGCCCAAGCTCTTCATTTCTGGTCTTGGACCAATGCTGTCTCTTGACTCTGATGTTGCTGCTTCTCAGGGCAGCTTTCCAGGGTTTTCCAGGATAACTTGATCTTCTTTTTGTGGCATGGGATTCTGGAGTTGAAGGAGGTGCTAAAGTTATGGTCAAGCTGCTTTTTTCATTTTCTTTTTCATCAGAAATTTGAAGCTCTCCTGTGGGATCTGTCTCAAAGATCTTTTCTGTGGTGCTCAATGGGACCATGGTGATTGAAGTATTGTTGCTTTTGTTTACTGTGGGAGTAGATTCAAAGGGTCCCCATGATAAATACCCTGATTTCTCATAATTTTTCATTTCTTTTGTAACTTCTGCTGAGTCCTCCATTTCAGTTAGATAAAGAAGCTTTCCTGCTTTTTCCACT